CCATTATTCACCCGATACGTAGGATACATAGTATACTGCGAATACAGCGTATACTGCCGGGAAACCCATTTAAGGTAGGTGATCGGCATACCCGTCACTGATCACAAGCTTCCGGCACCACCATCCTATCGCTCACATTCCTCCCCAACTCAAGGTCGAGTTCTACGAGACAAAGTTAAATGACAGGAAAGAAATCGGCATGACTTTGAGTGGCCCAAATAATCTGTCCACCAGGATCAAAGACACAGGTACATGATTTATACGTTGGTAAGTATCGGAGGGCCTCATTTTCACCAATGTTTATATGCTTGATTCGATATAACATCATTCCTTTAATATGTTTCAGATACCACTCAAATATTTGATTACTCAATTTTTCCTTTTCGAAATAGTTTCCATTTTGACAACAAAAGCCAAGATTATGTCCTCTTTTATCAGGTGGTGGAAATTCTTCTGGCTCAGGTAGGCATGGGTCCTTTATCTCTTGAGAGGTATCTTGGATCATTCTTTTGAATTCATTAACCCTTTTGTTCCAATCTTCGCAGGCTTTGTCCAGGCTTTCCAATGAGATTTGGTAACGAATTTGGATAACAAGAGCTTTAGTTACAATGACTTTCTCAGCTATTGTTTCATAACAGTGGCCAACTTCGAATATTCCATCACTATTTCTCATGCCAGCTGCTTTTCGATACCAAGTAAGTGCTTGGCGTTCATCCTTCTTAACACCAATTCTGTTGTAATAACAATGCTCAACCTTGCATACTCCTTTAGTATGCCTCATATCTACAGGGTTTTTATAGCATTCGAATGCCTTACGTTTGACCTTTTGGATTCCAAGTCCATTTTGATAACAATATCCAAGATTATATGCACCATTAGCATTACCCATATCAACAGAATCTTGATAGTAAGAGATGGCTTTTTGTTCATCTTTTTCGACACCCATTCTATATCGATGGCAATGTCCAACATTATACATACCACTAGGAGAGCCAAACTCACATGGTTCCAGGTGGCTATCGCAAGAATCGTATTCGTCCTTTTCGGCTTCATTTCAAAAGGGTTCTTTCTTGGGTTCAGATGGATCATCAGTTTCCTTTTCACTTCAATTCCATGTTTGTAATGATAACCAACATCAAGGGTACTTTTCATATTAGCAGCTTTTTGAAAACATTCGAACGCTTTTCGTTCATTCTTTCCAGCTCCAACCTTTTCGACCTTTTTGACCTTTTCGACAACCATCCATTCAGCTTTTTCAACTCCAATTCCATTATTTCCTTTCTTTACGATGCTGATTCCATTTTCTTCTTCTCCCGAAACAAGGTAGAAGTCAAGCATTTCATCAATCTGGTCCTTCTGATAATAGAATGGTGTTGAGGGAACTTCCGGTCTTGGAACTACTGGAGGTACAGACGATGGACTTTCCTCTTCTTCAGGTGGAACTGATGGGATATACGAGGGCAGGTATGGAACCTTTTTGTCATTATCATCCAAATTGCTCTCCAGGCGAGCATCCTCTAATATTTTCAACAGATACTCCAGGGCTTCCAGGTCATAAAAGCTACGGTTCCTCATCATTTCACCAACCATTTCCTGTATTTCCATGGCCTGTTCTTTGATAAGGGCGTTCAAAACTTCTAGGCATTCCAGTTGCATTTTCTTTGTCCTTGGGCATCTACTAACATTATAACACTCTGTTTTACAATAGGAGCACCTAGTCTTTCATCAGAGGCTTCGTGGTAAGTTTCTATTACTTTTCTTAATTCTTTCTGCTTTCTCTTCTAACTTCTTTTCTTTTCTTCTATAGGTTGGTCTGGGATTACAGCACATTGGTTGGGGTCTTGAGCGGACTTCAATCTAGGTGGTAATGGCGGTAAGTCTCTTGTTCATTCTTTCTAGCTGTTCGCAGAATTCTTCCATTTTCTCTTTAATCTAATCTATTCTTTCTTTACAGTTCTTATATCGGGGTTCCCTTAATTTCGGATCTCACAGTCAACACCAAAATGACACCATCGAACCGGCATCGGCATTTCGGTCGCTTCTCAAATGTATACGTCATGTAACCTACGAACGGCTTAGTCGATAAGAGGCGGTTAGATTTGGGCGAGTGGTATGTTTATGATCGTAGGTTTACAAGGTAGCGAAGGCCAGGGAATTATGAGGGTCACACTTCATTACAAGCACGAACTCTGCCTACTTTCTTCAGAGGGCTCGAAGCCTTTATTATATACTTTCATTTACATAGGACACGTTATACACTGTATTCATGATATATCGTTTATACTACTTATAACGTTTATACTCATTATACTGATGATACTGATTATTTTAAGTATACCCTTGATCCTACTGATACCCATTATTCACCTGATACGTAGGATACATAGTATACTGCGAATACAGCATATACTGCCGAGAAACCCATTTAAGGTAAGTGATCTACATAGCCGAGAGAGCATGGCATAGGGTCATACGGCGAAGATCCCACATCACTCGTGGATCACGTGTTTCGGGTCTAACATTTTTCCTCCACTTAGTATATGCGTACCACGCATATAATTACAAAGAACTTGACGGTGAAGTTTAAGTAGGGAGTCCTTAGGGCTTTAGAAATCTTTAAGGAATGTCTTTGGTCAGGAGCACAGAGTTAAGTAGTTAAGACCACCTAGGCTTTTCTTCACTTCGCAGGTACGTATTTTTTTCTTTAACCTTTATCGCAGCTCTTTATCTACAGGCACTTCACTTTTTTTGTGCAGGTCTTATTCCTCGCCAGACCAGGCTCTATCGTTATGGCTTACAGGCAGGTTCACCTCACTTCTTGCCTCAAGACTTCAGCTTTGATATCGGGTTTCTTTAGTTCATCTCACAGTCACTACCAAAATGACACCATCGAACCGGCGTCGGCGTTTCGGGCGCTTCTCAATCGGATATGTCATGTAACCTACGAACGGCTTAGTCGATAAGAGGCGGTTAGATTTGGCGAGTGGTGTATTTATGATCGTAGGTTTTATAATATGATTAAACAGGGAAATTAATGGGAGCGAATTTATGATGAGAACTAACTGACTGAACTGTTCTTGGAGGGCTCGAAGCCTTTATTATATACTTTCATTTACATAGTACACATTATACACTTTATTCGTGATATACCGCTTATAACGTTTATACTCATTATACTGATGATACTGATTATTTTAAGTATACCACTGATACCCATTATTCACCTGATACGTAGGATACATAGTATACTGCGAATACAGCATATACTGCCAGGAAACCCATTTAAGGTAGGTGATCGGCATACCCATCACTGATCACGAGCTTTCGGCACCACCATCCTACCGCTCACACTATAGACGTAGATCCTAAGCCACAAAATGCAATTAACAGTTTAGAATCGAAGGAAGCAACAACGGATGCACAATCAAACGAACCAATTAAGACCCCTAGAAAATGGACCAGTTTCTTTACGCAATTAAGACGGGGGCAAGCAACTTTTTCAAAATATACACCAAGGATGGAAATTACAACCAAGAATAATAATGCACTCATCTTTGACATTCGTAGCATGGATGACATACAAATGAATGATATTATATCTACATTGTACAATAAAATAGGTAATGCTCTAGTTGGGGCGAAGCCTCATTATACTAAAGGAAAAAGAACACACTTGGAACTGGTTTTTAATAGTGAGAAGAAATAACAATATTATGCAAAGAAGGGTATCTCCCTTTTTAGAAGATTGTTACTAGGTTACATACCCACAAACTTAAGAAGATCACACTGGCAGTAAAAGTGAGAAATGTCCAATCAGGGACATGGATTTTATATCTGACAAGTTAAAGGAAGTTTTTGAGGTCTTTGGATCTATTAAATCGATTAAGCTGTTGGTGTATGAAGATACTCCGGTCTGTACAGACCAATGGATAATCTTATATGAAACAATGGAGGACCCAGAGTTAGAGCAAAAAATCCCAAGACACACAAGTGTATGGGGTCAAAAAATCACAACAGAATGGAGAGTGGCTCCTAGCTGTGCTTCTACTATGATCAACCTGGGCACTTGAAAAGGGATTGTTCACAATTTAAAGAAGCAATCAAGTTGAGAAAGTAAAGAAACCAAAAGATTTAAAAGAGAAAATTTAGAGGAGAATAATACAAATAGAGACAGTACCAATGAAAAACAGAATATTGAAAATGATGAAGGGTTGAGTGGTTCAATACAAGATGTTACTAATAGGAATGTGAAGATGTTATCTCAGAAAGGTGAATCCTTTGATGTTATGTTAGAAGAAGACAGAAATGAGGAAAATCAGCAGAAGGTACAAGACAATATGTTACAGCAAACTAAAATAAATGCAAATGTATAGCAGGACAGGCCAAGTAAGCAATTAAATACAAAAAAAAAATCAACAGGCACAAATAAATACAAATAATGTAGATATAATTGTTCCAAAGATAGATCACAAATATGTACAAGCACAAGTACAAGAAAATAATGTAGAGGAACAAGCAGATAATGGTTTCATAATAGTTACACATGAGAAGGTTAAAATAAGGAAGAGCATACATAATAGTAGGTCCAAGTCATATGTAAGTAATAGACTATACTAGGATGGTCATAACAAATGAATATATAGTTTAAATAGGAATAAAAATGGATCTGAAGGTACAAATAATTTAATTTATATATTAGTATGAGTAAGAGTAATACTTTCAGAATCACCATACTTAATGTAAAAAGGCTTAATGATAGATATAAGCATCAAAAAACAATGATTTTGCTTAAGACATATAAAATAGAATTAATCATGTTACAAGAAACAAATTTAACTAATGATAGTATGAGGAATTTTTTGAAACAGTAATGGGGATATGATTCTATATAGACAGCTAGAGTAGCTATTTTAGCAGAAAATAGGGAAATCAAGTTTGATAATATTAAAGAATCTCATCAAAAAAGGGTACTTTGTACTGAATTTCAATATGAGAAACAGTCATTCTGAGTTATCAATATATATGCTCCTCCAACACTTGAAAAAAGTGTATGTTTTTTTGATAGATGGTCAATAAAGAAAAACATTAATGCAATTAATATAGTAGTAGGAGATTTCAATATAAGCCTTGATCTAAACATAAATAGAATAAGTCATGTGATACTACATAATGATCTGTCTAAAGAAAAGCTTAAGAAACTTATCTGTGAAATGGTAGACACTAGTGTTGCAGCCTTCCAAATGCTGTTTATTACATATTCCCAAAAGACAAAAAGAGGACATATCATAGCACAAGTTTGGACTATATTTTCATGGACAAACAAAATACACAGTATTGCCAAAAGATGTATATAAAGTTTGGTAATTCAGACCATGTTATAGTAGCAACTGAGATGAAATTTCGTAAAAATGAATTACAATCATCATATTGGAAAGTAAATTATAAGTGCCTTGAGAATAAAATATTAAAAAAGAAATTGTAAAGGAAATACAAATAGTCATAGATCTAGAAGAGTGGGATTACTATAAATGTAAGATCCAGTCTTTATTAGGGCTAGAGGAGTACTTAAAACCCTAAAAATTAGTATTCAAAAACTAAATAGGAAAATAAACATTTTAGAAAAAAAGGTTGCTAGAAATAAGGATTTATCCAACCTATAATTAGAGATTGAAAGGTTAAGAAAAAATTTATAAGATGAACTTACAAGATGAACTTACAAATTTAACTGATAAATGACAGGTCCATTTTAATGTAAGGTGGATCAAAAGTGTGAAGAAATCAACGAAATATTTTTATTCTAGATTTAAAACTAGGCATAATGCAGTAGTGATAGACAAGATTAAGATTTCAAATAATATAGAAAGGTCAAATACTATTGAAGTGTTATATTATATTAAAGAATATTATAATTACATATATAAACCAGAATCAATTAAGAAGGAGGCAATGGATAGAATAACAGACAATCTTCCACAAATAGAAGAATCTGACAATCAGAGTTTAATCAAATATATTATGAAGGAAGAGATAAATGAAGTTATACATAGTCTCCCCAACAATAAGGTCCCAGGAATAGACAGTATCATGTATGAATTCTATAAGAAGTTGTTAGAAAAAAGTAGTTTAGTTTTCAAAAAAATCTTTAATGATGTGATTAAAAAAGAAAAAATGCCTAGTTCATGATATAAGAATATAATAATATTGACCCCAAAAAAAGCAGAGGATTTAGAGAATGTGCAGAACTGGAGGTCTATTTCTCTAACAAACTGTAATGTTAAAATATTTATGAAAATTTTAGTAAATCATTTTAATAATGTATACCAAAAAATTATCAGTATTCATCAGCAAGGTTTCATCAAAGAAAGGTTGATTTTGAAATCCATAATAAACATTATATCCATTATAAGAAATCAGTCAGATCAAATGTGGCAGAATTAGATATTGTTTCTAGACCAACAAAAAGCTTTTAATTACATTAGACATGTATATTTGTAAGAGGTTTTAATAAAAATAAATTTTGAGCTAAGTTTTATACAAACAATTAGAGTACTATTTTCAAAACAAACTGCATTTATAATAGACTCAGGAATAATATTGGAACCTTTCAAAGTTAATTATGGGATAAGGCAATGTGACCCACTCTCACCTTTTCTATATGTACTTACTTTCGAACTCTTTCTTAGGTCATTTGACAAAAACTTAATGGGAATAACCTAAATTAACATTCAAGACAACAAAGATTCAAGTTAACAGCCTATGCTGATGACCTCACAATTGGTATAGTATTGCATGCAGAATGGGATATTATCACTAAAGTGTTCCAGGAATATAAAAATGTGTCTAATATGAAAATTAACAAAATTAAGTTAGTTTTAGTTCTACTAACATCTACCGCCTAACATATAGAACATTAAGAAGCAAAAAAGCTTAGGATCTTACCAGTCAATAAGTCAGTTAAAGTACTAGGATTTGTGTTGGATTCGCAAGGTAGAATAAGTAAGAATACTTGGCCAGAAATAATATTAAAGTTAAAAAATATGTTGGAAAAATTATCACAGTATAGCTTATCTATCAAAGGTAAAATCTGATAATCAAGACTTTGGTTTTGTCAAGAATTTGATATGTTACATACCTTGTATCACCGAGCAGAAAACAATTAGTAGAAATTGATAATCTTATAAGAAGTTAGATTAAGAATTCCTGCAAGATTCTTCCAAGATACTCGATTCAACAACAAGAATATAGGTATGAAAACCTTAATGCACCAATATTAAAGAACCTAGTGGATGCTAGACTACTTTCTACATTTGCAAAATTATTTACCAGTAAAAACTGTTGGACAGAGACAGAAAAAGAATTAATAAAGATGAAATTACATAATAAAAGAAATATTATGGTATTACATGCACTTAATAAAATACCATGTAAGAACAGAGTTTGATCAGAGTTTTGGAAACCTTTTGTTATAACATGGAAAAGAGCAAAAGGATCTGTGAATAATGGATCAGGAACATGATCCTGAAAACCAGAGAAGGTTAAAGTTGCTAATATACCTGGAAATGAATATACAGTGCACCAGGGGGTCTCCTTTTTAAAGAAAGAGTCACTGTCAACAGTTATTCAGAAGCAATAAAATGATAATAAGAGGGATAAAGACTTCTGAAGTTGGTCTAAAATAAAATGGATCAACAATAAACATAAGGATATCTTTTGATATTATTGTCATAGATCACTGCCGTTAGGATACAGGTTAAAGCATATAATACTGAATAATAATGGTGACTGTCCAATGTGCCATGAGGAAACCCAAACTAATGAACATTTTGGGATAAACTATAAAAGCAGCAAAACCATATGAGAAACTGTATACTTATATTTAAACCCAGGGAAGTCCCCTCCAAGGACCTACGAGGAAATAATTACAGTATCGAATATTAAAGATGTGGGTAATAAGAAGTTAGCATGCTGCCTACACATTAACACACTGTATGAGATCTGGTTTTGTTATACACAGATTAGATGGGGCGGAAAGCCAATACCGGAGCCGACTCTCCCCATAATTGTTAAGAATAGAATTGAGAAGGAGTTCAAAGTTTTAAAACGTTGCAAAAAGAGTAAGATAACGGGAACAAATATACACAATTTTAATTAATAGTAGGTAGATATATAATTAATTAATTATGTAATAATTTGTACATAGTAGAACTAAATAAAATACGCCTTCCGGCGTCCCCTTGGGAGGGGTTTAAAAAAAAATAAAAAAACCTAATGCATCTAGACTATCTAGACTTGTAATTAGGGATTGGAATTGATTTAGTTGATTAACATAGTAATTTACTGCTCAAATTTTTTAGTCAACTAAAACTTTCCTAATCCATGCTTTAATAATCCAATTGCTTTCATTTTTCATACAAAGCTTTTCTAGCATAAAAATTCTTTCAAAATTGAATTCTCACTAATTTCTACAAAATTACGCCAAGTCTACATGTTTTTCTAAATATTTTAAAATATCATTTGATTTTTCTACTTCAAATAATAATAAAACTTTCGTTGACAATTCGAATATGCAGATTTTAATGCATTTAATTAACGTTTCTTTTACAAATAAAAATATTTTATACATGAATAAAATTTTAAATATCCATCACAATGACAATCGCACTTCGCTCACTTAAAATATTTTTCGCTACGTACAATTTATTCACTGACCCATTAATTAAGGTTTTTGGAAACGCACATATATATGTCTATTATTACATAAATTATCAAGACGTTACATTTGCAAAACACTGCAGAAATTGGGCTCATAATAAATTATTAGTAGGCCTGTGTTGAGCTACTAAGAGTTATCAATAATGTGCATAATTTCACGTTACACCTGGTCATGATGGCAAAAATTACCATTATCGTTATAAATATACCCATTGTTGGTAATTGATACTATACGTACATGCCTGTAGATTTTAAGGTAGCCGGTACCCGCTAAAAGTTGATTTTGCTTAATTTGACTATTTCATTTGCTTGGGCTATAGCTAGTATCCCAATTCTGTTTTATTTTTAGTACACCCGAATTTTTAAAAAAACACTATCGCTATATCATATTCACATGACATAGTATAATAAACCTGGCCACAAAAATAATACATATATCACGGCGAATTTATGCAATTAATTTAAAATTCGGTCACCAAATCCGATTATTTGGTCCCTATTTTGAATTTTAGTCACTGATCTTGATTGATAACGCGTCTAACCCATCTTCCCCACCTTTGATGTATCTTATTGGACATAGAAACAATTTATTTTAATGACGCACCCACACTCGGGATAGTAATTATTTCAGTCAAAAAACATTGCTTTATCAGTGGTCAAAATTTTAAAATTTTGGGATATTAAATAAATTCACCGCAATGCAGTAACTTAGACAAGACTCAGTATTAATGATGAGACAGCAGTCAACATGGTTATTTTTAATCATTGTTATGTAAATATTTCTTAACTTTATTATAGATTTATAGAAATGATTTACAAATTTATTGAAAAAATTTCATGCCGTACGTACTGTACGTACGACAACAAAGAATAAATGCTATATTTATTTTTCGTGATACTATCGATTTCGGAAGAGACATGAGTTTAGTCTCGATTTCAATAGGAATTGCATAGATTGGATCTCATTTTTTAAGGCATAATATGTTTATAAATCATAAATAAAAATTTATTGCGAAAGAACCAAAGGACATATTTCTTCTACAACATCCTCTTTTGTTTTACAGACTAGTAATTATATAGGCTAATGAATTATTGAAGGCAACTTCGGATGAAAATGAACTGTTACATTTGTTATCTGTTGTTATAACAAAAAGATTGTAGAAAATGGGAATTCGAATAAGGATGTTTTTTATAATAAAAAGTTAACCACTCGTAAAATTTTCGCAGAATTAAAAATAAAACTATTACACTCTATATTTAGCATTATGAAAATTTTAAAATAGTTTGACACTTCGTAATTCATGATAAAATTTAATCTTTAGTGGGATAAAATTATAAATAAGCTTGCATTTCGATTTAATACGCATTTCAATAGATAGTTTTATTGTAAAATGGAACTTCAACAAAATGATTTAGTTAAAGCCTTAAAAAACCTTGCAGTTTATTGGGTTCTTATTTGTTTCATTCTTGTATTCTTATGTAATTTCGTTGTTTATGGACAATTGAATTCTACATTACTAGTAATAAAACGGCGGCGTTTTATAGGGCTGGAGCCTTACGTATTAGGTTCTTTAATTTGAAACTGTAAATTG